CGGGCCACTGCCTCTTCGTTCGCGCAGTCATTTATAGTGGTTGTGCCTCTGAGAGGTTGTTTTCCAAGGCCAGCAAAACATTGCAACTCGATGACTTGTGACGATCATCATCATCCTTCGTGCTGCAACTTTCGCACCAGCTACTCTGATAATCTTCGAAAGCTGAAGTGCCTGTGACCGAGACTGGCAAGGATGACATTTCCCTTGCCTGTACAAGAAGGCCACCTTTGATTGGCCTTCATGGACAACCACCTACGTCCAGATACAGTAATGCTTTCGTCGAGAATTCAGGCTCATCGGTGGTTTGATTCTCTCATTTTTCACATGTCTCACCTTAGTACAGAAGAAACTCTGCCCACATTGGTCGTTTTGGTCCTGGTGCTTTTTGGGGTGGTTTTGTTGGCTTGGTTGTTTTTGTGTTGGCGTTTTTGGGTTGCCTCCCCCACCAATATGCAGAGTTTCCAATCCACCTGGGCACACCGCCCACATGGCGTCCGCACTCGTGGAAAAAATCTGATTCTCTGCTGTGTGCCCTTTTATGATCACCAGCGGATGATCAACGCCAGAGCCATAATCGCCGCAAATGTCAAAGGTGCCATGCGTGATCCCTGCGCTGTTCGAGTGAACAGATAGAATTTCTCCCGCAGCTTTGCGCAGAAGAACCTCCTTTTTCGGATGCAGTGGGATCAGCCAAAAGGCATCCACAATGTCGGCAATGAACATAGTGACACCTTGACCTTCTGTTGCACAGTGCATCAGTGTCAATGCTGAGTTGACTGCATCTGTAATCCTCGGCAGGACACTCTTGTGAGTTCTATGTGAGCGAGACTCCATTCATCTGCAATCCAAGATGATGCGGCTCTTACTGATATATTGCCCCGTATCAGGATTGTACTTCAGCTTCTTGAGGCATGCCAGTTTCGACAACACAGGCTTGTCTCCGAGCTCTGTCTCCAGTTCTTTGCGACCTGGCTGTGACGTCTGGTTTGAGAATGGGCGCGGCTGCTTCTTCAGCCCAGGACGGTGGCCGGTCTGCTGCTGACAATGAAGCTCGCAAAGGGACCCACCAGAACACAGAAGCCACCTGCGTGGCCGAGGGTCTTCAATTTGTCCCGCTAGTGGCGGAGGCCTGCGCTGGCGGTTGGGCTCCTGCCGCGTGTGCTACTTGGAAGCGCCTTGCGCGCCGCAGTGGCCGGCAGAACGGGTGAGTCTGCGTCCGTTCTGACCGAGAGGTTGCAGCAAACCTGGGCTCTGACGCCGCAAAGGGAGAATGCGAGGGCGGTAGTGCGTCGGGCTGGAGCTGGCCTTGCAGATGCATGCTCCTTTCCTTCGCTCTGAATCTTGCTGAGGGGGGTCGCCTGAGGTAGCCACTCTCACCCCTTTCTTTTTGCTCTCCCGAGTATCATTCAGTGATCGGCGCCAAGGGGCCAGCACTCAGCCAATCTTGTACAAGTACAAAGATGGCGCAAGGACCATGCTAGGATAAATCACAGTTTCACCAGTTTCACCGGGCCATGCGCGACGGAGGATAGTGACCTTTTCAGGACCGAGCTATCCACCGCAATGCAAGTGTGCACGCCCCCCAGCCTCCCCTGATTATTACTCGGGAGCCAACAGGGAGAGCGTGTGATGCCTCCCCCTGATGGAGGGAGGTCACCTGGTTGCTTGCAGCCGCACCTTGTGTTGCAATGTCTCTCACCTCCGTACTCAAGTAGGGCCACAGCCTCCTTTGCTCGTGCAATCATTTGTAGTGGTTGTGCCACAGAGTAGCTGTTTTCCAAGGCCAGCAAAACATTGCAACTCGATGACTTGTGACGATCATCATCATCCTTCGTGCTGCAACTTTCGCACCAGCTGCTCTGTTAGTCTTCGAACAAAGCTGAAATGCCTGCGACCGAGATCGGCAAGGGTGATTCTTTCCCTTGCCTGCGCAAGGGGGCCACCGTTGAAAGGCCTTCATGGACAACAGCCAAAGTCCAGATACAGCATAATGCATTCGTCGAGAATTCAGGCCCACCTAGTTAGTATGACACTCTCTCAAGTTTCACACGTCTCACCTTAATACAGACGAAACTCTGCCCACATTGGCTGTTGGGGTCTTTTGGTGCTGGTGCTGTTTGGGGTGGGTTTGTTGTTTTGGGTGGTGTTTTTTTGTTTTGTGGTTTCGGGTTGATCCCCCCACCAATATGCAGAGTTTCCATCCTTTCTATGATGACCCGGGCACACCGCCCACATGGCGTCCGTACTCGTGAAAAAAAAAGGCGCTAAGGGGCGCGGGAGCTTTGTGTGTGGTGTTGGAATTCTGCTCTGGGCCAAGTCCAGGGAACAGCTCTTCCCCACCGCCCATTGTTTTTCAGCCCCGTGTTTATGCCATGTTCCCCTTGTCGCAATGGCTTTGCTGGACCACTTGCGCTTTTTAGCTGCGTGTCTAGCCCAGCTTTCAGGGGAGGCTTTTGTTCATGGGCCTTGTTTTGCGGTGTACAGCCTTTTGTGTGTAGAGGCTTCGAGGTTGAATTTGGAAGCGATGATGTTTGTGGACGGCGTCCCAAGTGACAGGAACACATTCCCATGGGACAAAAGCAAAGACCTGGCCAAGCAGACAGCCACCAGGAACAGTAGCAAGAAACTGTAAGCTGAGTCTCCTCACCGGCCTTGTGGTTTCGCTTTCTGTTTTTTCGTTTGGGGTGTTTGGGGGTTGGTTTTGGTTGTTTGTTTGTGTTGTTTCCTCACTCTCAAGGCCGGAGACTCATTCATATGTAGCACAAGGTGACCTGTGCATTCTCTGCACACATGGCGGCTCCATCCGTGCAAAAAAACACCAGGAACAGTAGCAAGATCGCATACAGCTGCAACCTCCAAATTCCTTTCCAGCATGCAAAAGGAAAGGCATCCTTCCAACAGCTGCTTTTGAAAGAGTCTCTTGCGTGAAGTGCCAAACAACAAAAGCCACACCAAACCAAACCACCACAAAACAACAAAAAAACAAACAACTAAAGAGGAAAAACAGGAGACTCTTGAGTGCGCAAAAAGGCTACAAGTCGAAGTTGCTGACACTTTTCCTGGCTTGATTAATAGGCCTGGACGAGTTGACCACATTATGAGCGAGAAAAGCAGGTGATCCTCATGTCCGGGATATGGCTTTCTATTGCTTTGTGTTTACAAAGGTGTGGGCAATCAGATTAGACCAACTTTGACAAGCTAGTAACCAAATGAAAGCAGAGCTGGCAACTTCCCCCTCTAGTCCCATACACTTTGAAATTGCGACAGGAGCAAGTTCATGAAGAGATGTTCCAGTTCCACCGAGATTTCCACCTCGACCAGAGACACTTCAGGAGATGGAGTGTTTGGAGCCCGGAGTGGTTTGTTTTTTGGATGCAAGCAAGAGTTTCAGCTTGCGTGGAGAATGAAGATATACCCCAACTAGACTTCGGAAACATGAGAACGAAGAAGGATTTTGGGAACAATGTCAGACTTTGCAACTGGACCAAGTGAAGCAACGAGGCAGAGAGCGCATGATTTCTGTTTTAAGATGAGCGACATTTCAGGAACAACCCCTCAGACATCAATTGGGATGGTATTGATGCTGTTCCAAGAGATCTACCTTCAACAGACAGCGAGAGATCTGAGCACGAAGATTCTCCACAAGATCGCGCTCCTGGAAGAAGTGTTGCGATTGAAGGCAGAGCATTCGCCAGCAGCTCGAGCAGGACTGAACTGAAATTGAGTGCAACTGGCGAGGAAGAAGACGAAGAGGAAGAAAATTTTGACGTTGAGACAGCAGCAGAACGACACAGACGACATATGGATGATCCAATGGAAGAAGTTTCCGATCCCGACTACTGGGCTCGATTGCATCGTGGAACTGGCAGTAGCAGCAGCAGTACGAAGGTGGCAGCTACATTGGATTGACAGATCTAGGTGAAGGGACAGAAGAAGAGCAAAGCATGGCAGAACAATCCGCATCAGGACGTGCACCATCCCATCAATGTACAATGTTTGAGGTGTAAGGTTGCACTAGCTGAGCCAACCTGACACGAATACTGGACATTACGAAGCACCATTTGAGTTGTGCGGCTGAGAAGCCAGAAGGAAAAATTCCTGTGATTGCTTTGATGATGGGAATGTTTTGGTACAAAGGAAGTGTAAACTGGCTTGCTACGCCACAACTTTAAGGCCTTGACACTTCTTCTGTTTGAGTTTGAAGACGAATGAGCGACAACAGTCGTCGCAATAAATGTGTGCAGATTGTTTGGAAGCTGCCAGATGCCCGAAACCAGATTCGGATTTTGCTGTCATGCCGTCCAAATAAGCAGTGCGCGATCTGTGTGTTTGATGGGGTTTCTTCAAAACTTTTGTTTTTGGGCCAAACTCCACGGAAACCATGCGTCAAACGTGTTGAGATCGTGTTGTGAAATCGTGGTGGGCTTTTGCGACTGAACATTTCCACTTTTGACACTGAGTTGTTTCCAAGCCTACAGAAACTCAACATTTGCAAATGTTTGTTTTGTTTGTGGTGCAGCACGTATCATGTCGAAACCAATGCAAATGTCTTGCACAATGCATACAACTCGCGCTCAACATAGGACTGGAAAAACCCCGCAATCCAAATTGTTTTGCATTCTGTTCGACCACATAGCAACCGCAGGATCCGAGCCTTGTTTTGTTGCCATGACGCACCTTGGCAAGGTCATAAGACTTTTGGCAAAAAGTCAATCAATTTGTGGCAGTCTTTTCTTTATGTTCGAAACCATGACGGTAAAGACGTGCAGCTCCAGTCTTTGCGGGCACATCGTTTTGGCCAAAATCGAAGCCAAAAATACACTTCACCCATGTCAAGACATACTGCAATCTACTGTAGATAAATATGTTGAAATATGACCACACCTGCCACACCTCATCATTCCCTTATCATAATTTCATGTGGCGTCGATCAACCAAACCCCAGACCTTTAGCCATGTGATTAGTGCATACTGCATACGCACATTTGGTCAAGTTCAGCTTGAATCCAGCAATGAAATTAAGATATCAAATTTGACAACCATGCTGCGAATGTTAGCCTACTATTGGTTGCCAGGCGGGGAGCTTGTGGTGCTTGTTGACTTGACGACATGGGTTTGGAAAGAACAGGGCAAACACCCTGTTTTGCAGGTGACAATGATGATCAAGAGCATCCCAATGCATTTGAGGTTATCCATGGAGGAGATCTCTCGGATACAGAGAAAACCTTCACATTGAAACTGTTGGTAAATCTGCCGAGAAATTGATTTTCGTTTTTTTAAAACAAATTCTAGTTCAACGGTCGTATGTTGAAACACATGGGGGCGAAGTGAGTTTTCTTTGAAACAGTGTTCTTTTGGGTTGCTGTCACTCAGGACATGGAGTAAAGCTGAAGGACATCAAAGCTGCCTTTCCACTGCCCGGTCAGTACCATTTTCGATTCAAGATGAAATGGGAGCACATGCCTCAATGCTCAGAGCTAGGTGCCTTCAGACAACCTTGTGACAACTTGAGAGCACCTTTAGAGTTGGCAGAGCAACATTTCAGGTCTGGTGCTGTTTGGATGGCAGCTGCCACAGCTTCCAAGCACGGGTTTACACAACTTTTGTTGTGCATGTATTTTTATTCTTTTTGTGATGTATGTTGCACGCACCTTGAATTCAATCCTCCACACTCAGCAGCTTCTAGGATGTGACCAATGAAGATTCAATGGCCATGATCTCAACCTTTTGGTTTTGATGGATGCACTTTATTCACTGAAAGCTTGAAGCTAGGTCCCCATGTTTGAGGACAAGGTCATTGCGAAGGCATGTACTGAGTACAGTACTGCATGAAGAACATTCGTAGTTTCTGCAGCTCAGCACCAGATGTGCGCAACTCTTAGATACGGTGAATTTATGTCAGCTTCCGAAGGTCTTACGAGTGAACTGGGGCAAGCTACAAATGCACCGCTCTTGAGTTCTCAGAGTCAGTTGTCAACCTGAACCTGTTTGCGGGATTGGTTTCCCTGAAGAGGAACAAGTGGAAAAAAGTCTATCCTACTTTTAAAAACTGAGAGTGTATCATGTTGAGCCTGTTCTTTGCTCAAGCTCTGAAGGCCACGGCAACCTGCTTCGGATGTACCATCAGTGCTTCCGGCCTTTCCTTTTGAAAGCATGGGTGAGGGTTGTGTCGCAACATGCTTGTGATGCAGTTTATCAAGCCTTGCCAGGCATCTCCAGACACCTCACCGATGGCGCGGCTTTTGCAAGCGTTATTGTCAAGACAGAGAAGGACTTTTGAGTATTTTGTGGCTATATATATATATGTGGCGTTTATATAGTTTAAAGCAATTCAACAGCCCTCTTGCCAGATCACATCACCAAATAATTGCATTTGTAGATAAGCAAGGATTGAGGCTGTTTGCAGAAAAGGCAGCCAAAGCCATGTAGTTTTTGCAGACCGCAGAGTATGTTAAAGCGTAGCCAGACAGAAACTCGAAAAGAGTGTGCTTTCCTTTGCTCACGATGTGTTTTGTTGTGTTCTAATGAATGCATTCCAGGCATCCGGTGATTCTGAAGATCTGCTTTTTGGAGACAGTCCTGGGCTTATGTATTTTTCCCTATTTCCGTCAACAAGCATACTCCTTCATCTCAAGCAGCCAGCATTATCCTAGGCCCTGCTCCACCAAGTCAAGCGGCGAGGCCGTCGGGCAAGGAGCTGTTGCAGTCAAACAGTCCAGCAGCATTAGTCGCCTTGCCAAGGACAAGGTGCAGTGAACAATTTACTGCATTCATTGTTTCTCTGTATTGCAGGACGATTTCGACATGCTTTTTGGCTAGCCTCAACTACTTTCGTGCGAGTCGAAAACCAGCGCCAAACAAAGGGTACTGAGACATGCAGAGTCTATGGAGTACGCTATTGGAATAGGAGAATGAGCCCAGAGCTGATGGTAAATTTGCCGAGCTTTGGCTTCCAGCTAACTCATGAAAGTCCATACACGCCAAGCCAATTTCGAAAAGCTTTCTAAGCAAATGATAGCTTGCAACAACCCATGCACAATAGATTTTATCCTTTCGGCTTGGTGACCTGCATCGGTACAGATAGAATGGAAGTCTCAACTTTGAAGCTTGACAGCTATAATTTCTATAAGCTTGCCAGCTTTGTGCAAGGGGTTAACAGAACCTAGAGAAAGACAAGACCTCATGACGATGGACAGGACCTCATGTGACCGGACCTGGTGTCAATCGTAAGCGAATGACAGAGCCTGCCTCAGAAGGAATCTCCATTTTCTTGAATAGGAAAAAGATAAAATTAAATCCATGCAGGTGCTTGTGGGAGAGGTGTTGTGGCACCAGCGAGAACCACTGGCATGTCTTGAGTCTTGACCTTGCGAAAGACTAGCGGCCAGTGGCTTTGACCTGGCCATGACTAGCCCGTACTTTGACATGATTGTGTTCAGGCTGAGCAGTTCTTTCTCGATGTCGCTGCTGATGGGTATGTGGTGGCCTCTTGCGCTGAGGCATTGCTTCTTGCATGCATTTTTTGCCACTCTTATCCTCTGCCAACGTCGGTGCTCCAGGTCAATGAAGCAGAGGCCACGTGGTTTGGAGCACGCCATCGGAAGAGTGGCTTTTGTTTGTTTATATAATATAATGTTGCCAACTGCCAGAGTTCCGCAGGCGACTGAGCTGAAGCGGCAATCTGAACTAGGGGCTTGGTCGAAGCCTCAAGGAAGCCTGTGAGATTGGAACGAGCTCCGGCATTTGCTGAGGCACGTTTGCAGTGTGAATGACTGCCTAGCTGAATGCGTTGCCACCTCAGGCAGACGGATCACATGCAAATTGGCATTAGGATTTAGTGCAGCATTAGAGGCAAGTGGTCCCTCTTCCAAAATAATTAGCTGACAGCAAAAGGCGTTACTGGTGTCTCGCTGGCTGATCTCTGCGGCAGTAGGCAATAGTCTCCCCAATGGTCCTGAGCATTCCACTCTGCGTGATTAATTACTGCTTTCTCTGGACGTTGGTGTTCTGACCCTTTTACTGTAGTGCTTTTGTAAATGTATCTCTCAATTCAGTGTATTCATTGTGCGATTGCATCCTGCGCTGTTTGGCTTTCTGGCTTCGCGTTTGGGCCTTTTCTTCCTCGTTAAGTGGCATAGCGATTTCAACAGAACACAGGATCGGTCAACGCAAATTTGGAACTTCTTTCTTGCTTTGACTTCCGGGCTTCACCCAAATTGCTGTTTGTCCTCAATTGGGTTCTGAGTGCCAAGCTCACACTCGAAGACACTCCCAGGTATTGCAAGCAACAGTTCTGCTATTGGGATACGAGTTGGTGTAGTTGGGACTTTGTACCGTTGTACCAAATGTCTTGCTGCACACATGATTCCTTGTCGTTTTCAAGGTTGCCGCTGGCTGCAGCTGTAGCCGCTCTGTGAATCCAGTTGCACGTGACGCGTTTCTCAGGAGTGAGTCAAGCTGCTTCAGCATACAATGTTCATTTGAGCTTCTTAAGATTAAGTGCCCCAACTCCTTGGCCGGGAGTGGAAAGCATTGAAAGTCTACCTCAGGACGACAGCTGAGCGTATCATCAAGCGCACCGCGGAACATGCTGAGGTGTGGTTTTGTCCTGGATGTATGTCATTAGTCCAAGTTTTTCAATGACATCGGGTGATAGGACGGCGAGAATAAGGGCACAATCCAACAAAAGGTGTTATTGGGGGGCTTCAGGAGTAGAAATGGCTTTTCAGAAAGGGCCATTGGGCGGTTCACACAGCAACTTTGACTCGACAGAGTTTGTCAGTTGAGCTGCAGCTTGCAGTTAGCTCTGGAATTTTTGAGCCTTTTGCGTTGAGTCAGGCCAACATCTCGTCATCAGAAACAAAGCCACTCCACTTTAGCCTTAAATAATGGAGGCAAGCAATCTCCAGAAACAAGATGAAACAAGCAGGTAAGCAAGCTGGTACAAGGGATGCGCGTGTGCACACACAATGTCATAACGTCGTTCTTTTGCTTCTATTCTCGCATGCATTTTGTAACTTTTTCTACTGTGCATGGAAGTCTTGCGCCCGGGTGATCGGGTGCTGCTGCATGGTCTTGCAGCAGAAGCGCTGAATGGAACGATTGGACAACTGCAAGCTTTCCACGAAGACAAAGGCCCAGGGTGTTGCAAACCAGCACATACATGTACCAGCAGCCGCTACTGGTACCTTTGAGCAACGGCTGTGTGTTTATCCCCCCAAATCCTCCCAATTCCATTGTTTGGTTGTGTGCGCCAGGTAGATGGGCTGTCAAATTGGGCCCGGCTGCTCCCAAACTGCTCAAACCCAGCAACCTCAAGACAATTGAGAGCCGGGAAATACACCATGTCAGTGGTGTATTCTCAAACATCGCTACAGAAATGCTTGGAGAAGATATTTTCCTGAGGATATGCCACTTCTTGCCAGCGAAGGCTCTTACAGCCAGCAGCGTTTGCAACATGAGCTTGAGGAAGCTTTTGCATGGAAGCGTATCCTTGTGGCAGTCTCTCAGCCGTTCTTTGTTGGATGAGGCTGTTGTCACGTTGCACCGGGCTGCTTCAGATGCAGGTGTGGATGCAGATCAAGGGGCCGAATTCTGGAGAACTCTTTTTCGAGCTGCCTATAGGCCAGACTCGTTTTACTACGAGCATAGCCTAAGAGAACGGTGCTTGCATTCAAGCGACTGTTTTCAGAAGGCTATCATTCCTGAGGACAAGTTGGATGAGGGCGTTGAGGGCTTTCGGGGAGCTTGTCTAACTGGGGGCTATTCTGGTGGAGTTCGACGCTTAAATGATGCAGCTTACTTTGAGCTCCGTCAAAAAGTCTTAGGCGCCAGCGGCCATACTGCCTCGACACTGAAGAACAGAGTCATTGTGATTGGAGGATGGAGGCCATGGAGCACTGCAGTAGATTTGCATGTGACAGTTTTAGACCTCTTGAAGATGAATCTGAGCGAACCTCGCTTGGCAGAGGGCTCTGAGAAGCCAGAAAGGCGGCTTCGTCACTCGAGTTGCACAGTGACTCCTGGAAACTCTTCCTGCATCCTGGTTTTGGGTGGTTGCAATGACAAGACCCACAAGCCGTGTGATGGACTCCAGACGTTGTTATTTCTTGAACTGCAGACAGAAAGAAATGGATTATTGCAGGGGGGAACTCCAGCAGAAATCAACTGGAGAAAGGCCCCGGCCAGCGGGCATGTGCCAAAATCGATTTGGCACCATGCTGCAGACTCGTTCTCTAAAGGAAAGCGGGTTGTGGTCTTTGGCGGTGATATTCCACCTCAAGATCCAGAATTCACTTTCATTGGAGACAGAGCTTATGCAAACTATGTGTACATTTTGGATGTGGATCTGCAGCGGTGGGAGCGAGTACAGACGAAAGGACAAATTCCTCACTGGCGATCGCTACACTTTGGTGCAACCTTTTCCTCTGATAGTACAGCAGAACACTTCGTGATTATGGGCGGATGCGAAGATCGTCTTGATATTTTTCATGGTGGGACACCGGCCACCATGTTGGGCTATTCACTAAATCTTCAAACATTGCGCTGGAAGCGTGGTGCCCAAAGAAAAGGCTCTCCAAAAGAAGAGGTGTTCATTCCTGCACCTCGAATGCGATTTGGTGCACAACGGTATGGACGGCATTTGCTGGTTTATGGTGGCCATGGTGTCGAAGCCATCCCTGAAGAGGAAGAGCTATTGATGCTCAACACAGCGAGCCTGGAGTGGTGCAAGGCAGAAGTTGCTAACGAGCCTTCTGAGTTTGGTGTCGCTCCAGCAGCGGCGTTGGCAGGCGGATGCGTCCTTGGCGGAGTTGAACTTGGGCCCAGGGGAGCCCATCCTGTGCCAAAGCTCGATTTTATTTGCCTCAACCCTTTTGGAAGGAGCACAAAGCAAGATGTGTACAAAGTAGACCAAAGTGGGAGTGAACCATGAAAGTAAACACTGAAAGCAGAACACTGAAAGTAAACTGTGTGAAACATGGAGTCGGGCCGGAGACCGAAGCTTCAAAAAAGATGTGTGAGGAAAAGAGATCACTTCTGTGTGCCAGACTGTGTCACACCTGAACAGTCTAGCCAAATGAATAGCGTGAGCTATCCTGCGTCCTACCTAGGAGCTTATTTTCTGCCTCCTTAAAATTCCAACCACCAGTGGGTGTGCAACTGGCGCAGGTCTGCTATACATCACTTGGGAGTGGCTTGCTGCGCTTCGATTTCAGCCTACTTGAGATGCTACTGTCGAGAGGTCCGGAAGAGTTTTGTAGACAATCGCAGCGGTAAGGGCTCCCTGAGAGCTGAGATTCACCATGCCTGAGCATGCAAGGTCTGCTTTGCAATTAGAGAAAGCTTCTTCCCCCAAGAAAAGCAATTCACTTCTACAGAATTAGAAGATCCCAGACCCACTGATTGTAGCATTGACATGGTGTGCAGGTTGTTGCAGAAGCCAATAAGGCAACCAGCCAAGTGAACACCAAAGCTTGTTGAGGAGTGCCAGTGACGTCAGTGCACTTGGTGGACTCGCAATACGAACCCGATGCTCAGGCAGGTCATGGTTCTGAACATGCAAACTCTTTCAGTCCTTTTCATGGGCCATGTGACACAGGTTTGTTGACAGTTGAAATTGTTGCTTGGCCGGCTTGCCCTTGTGTTGGCAAGGTTTTATGACCCAGCAACCCTGCAAGCCCCTGGCCCTAATATTTATATAAGTGTCTGAGCATCCATGTGCCCAGCATATTCTCAGTGACGATTGCTGGCCCTCATTCTTCAGACTCAATAACATAGAACACTTCGATCCAGCCAACTTACCGTGAAGCGAGTCTATGCTTGCGCATTTATCCTAGTTTTTGTGTCATATCAGATACATTATGTGTTGCAGCGAAGGAGTGCGCAGTTTGTAATGTTCTGAAAGCTATTTGTCATCACATGTCATTTTCTCAGCTGTACTGTAATTACTTTTGGAAGTTGGGATGCCTTGACGGCTGACTACTGTTCTTCCGCTATTTAGTTCCGTTGCTCAGGGATACATGAGGCACCGAGTTGCATTGGCCCAATTTGCATCTTGGTTTACACTGCGAGGAGTGGAGGCACAGGCCTCAGTATTCATCAAGCTTGCAAAAAACGCTATTCCATCAATGATCTAAATGCCTGTCCTCACAAAGCATCGATGCTTTTAGTTTTTTGCAATGATGCTTACGATTCAGGTCTATGTGCACTACTCCCTGGAGAGGTATGCCTTCGAAGCAAGAAGAACTTCTGCCACTTTGTCAGGATTCAGCCACTTATGCCGATTGTAGCTACACTCTAGTGTTGCCTGTCAGGTAAGCTTGATGTTGAGTTGTTTTCAGCAGTTCTTCCTTTGATCCTTATTGTTTGAGCTCCAAGACGTGAGATTGATCCTCGGATTTGTTTGGAGGCATTGCCGGCAATAGTGATGCAAGTGGATTGCTTCGAACTCACAGCCGCCTTTGACAAAGAGGCTTTGCATTTGCCATTCATTTGGATGAGTGATGAGGGACGTTTTTCAAGGTGTCATTCACGCTAGCTTCCTTAAATTTGGTGCTGGAATTTCGTTTCTTTTCTACACTGCTCAAAAGATGGAGGTGAAGCCAGCTCTGGAGGAGGTTCTTCAAATAGATGGCCTTTACTGTGCCCTGACGTCGAGAGAGGCTAGTTCGGCAATTCAGTCTATACATATACAATCATATACATCTATAGTATGGAGCTTGTAGAGTTCGAGTCGCCAAACAAACTCCTTTTCTTTTGACACACTCCTTTTATGCGTGTCTTGAAATTTTGTTTCGGCACTAATCACTAATCAATCCTTGCTCTTTTTTGCATAATTTAGCAGCAAACACAGGGTGCTAGTGGAGCTGGGTCGATGGGCTCTACCTGCGCCTGGGCAGAGGTCACACCTGTCAAGACGCCTTTTGAGATGTCTTTCTGACAAACTGTGTTTTCCTTTCCGGAAGTTTGACATTTCGGACAGATGAATGGATGAGCAGTAGGCCCATATGTCTGCAAGTGAAAACAGCACTGTCAAGCCGTCAAGCAAGTCCTGATGCCAGAGGGGTGCATGAGTGTAGTTTCTGGTGTTATATTATATATACACAACTTACTACTGCGCCACTGCAGCTTTGCCCAAGCATTGTAACATTCTGGAGCGCGTGCTCGTGGCTTGATTGAGGACAGGGGAATACTCAAAAGACACAGTCTTCTTTGCGATTTCTTCGCTCTGTTAGTGTCACATCATGTTTTGCCTTCTCTCACAGTCTTGCTCTAGGATGGCAGACTCGGGTTCGGGTGGCACTGGGCGTGGCACTGCTGCAGCATCTGCCAGATGCTCAGGGCTGGTTGAAGTTCTGTCCGAGCTTTTAGCAGCTTTGGCTGTAGAGGTTGGAGGCTCCAGAACAGCTTTGGCCCGCCGCACCACGACAAGGCGACCAAGTCCAAACTGACCAGATGGAACCTAAATGACCTCACAGCTGAGGACGGGTGCTGGTGGCGCAAACAGTGGAAAGAAGGCGGTACCTCAAGCCTGCTTGACTTGATGTTTGCCAGGGGTTTGACATTAGTGTGAAGTTTTGTGGGTGGTTCGGTGTTTTTGTTGATGAATTCATGTCGTCGCTTTGCATTTTCTTTTTCTCGGATGGGCTTCACTGCTTTCAATGGCAGGCTGGCGGTGGTGGTGGCGGCATCCTGAAGTTCTACAGTGATGATACCCCAGGCTTGAAGGCGAGGCATGACGCAACCAAATGGCATCATGCTATTGTCCTGCCTCTTCCCTTCCCCATGGCTTTTGACCTGGAACATTTTACATTTGCTAGTTGCTAAAGCTTCTTTCGAAGCTCGTATATCGCAAAACAAATGTACTGTTGCAGTTGCATGATTGCCCTCGAAATGTTGTTCAGAGGTAGGACCCACGACAGTCTTGGTGCTGTCGCTAGTCTTCATGGCAATTGTGTGTCCCTTGTCTTGATTGAGATGCATTTTGTCTGAGGGTAGCTTTGAGTCGATAGCTTCTTCTCTTTGGTCTGCTCCAAAAATGCGTTTTGTTTGTTCAGAAAGCAACTGACGTGGCACTGGACACCGATGAAAGTGCCAAGAGATGTGGATAAGAATAGTAGGCGGAGGGTAGCATTCTTTCCGGGAGCAGGGATGTCGTTGTTCACAGTGACATGTTCAATCTCTCTTTAGGACTCTGCAGCAAAATTGGTTCCCGCCCCAAAGCGAACCTTGACTTCAGGTTCTTCAGGTCCATGAACCAAAGATTAAAATACGATTTACAGTAGGGGACTTCGCTTTTGATTAAGCATGTTCAAGGCTTGTTCTCATACTTTCTCTTTATTTGGTGGTACAGCCTTCGCTCCGAGGTTTCCAGCAAAAGGTTGCCAAATCTGTTTGTGAACACAAGATGTATCTCCAGATTGGAACAGAATTGCTATATATATATACATACAGCATTGTCAAAATGGCATTCACCCCTAGCGCATTACAGTAAACAGTAATACATCGCAACCGAGGCTCTTTGCACATCTTGGGCAAGTTCCGAAGTGGCTGAGTAACGAGCAAAGCCCTCAGGAAGGGACAAAGTACCAAGGGCGCTGCCTTGTCGAACTGAGGTCGGGGCAGACAATCTGAGAGTGGCAACATTGATGTCTTTGGAGAACCAGGGAAGAAACGATCTGCACTGAATCAATTATATAATGTCGACGACAGACAGTGACAGAAGTCCAGGAAAAGAATGCAGAGACAGATGATATGGAGATTATGGAGATACAGAATGACAATGCACATAAAAACCATTGAACAGGAAGAACAGCTTTTTCGACGGAAAGCCACATACTCCGGACAGCATCGCAGAAGCCTTCTCCGTTGGGCACAAAGGATGCCAGGGAGCTGCAGTTTTGCGTTCGGCACCGCAGCTTGAAATGGTGTGATTGCCTGAAACGTGCTCAGAGCACCAAAACAGGAGACAAGGATAAGCAAGGAAACAAACAAGGAAAACAAACAAACACTCACTTTGTATCTCATATTCCTTCTCAAATGTTTGCACAGCAACCTGTCAGTTCTGGCGACTGGTCCCTGAAACTGGTCGGATGAAGATGGAGACCTTGACCTGTTTCAGGCGAAGCTTGGATTTGCTGTCTCAATCGAACAGAAACTAGCTAAAAGCGCTGTGCTTTGACGGCAGGCCCGGTGACACCAGCCAGACGCTTACTAGCATTTTGCTTCGAGATTCTGCTTCCCACAGCTTCAGTGGTTCTGGTTTGATGTTTGTGGCGACATAAAAGCCACACTGAGGTGGCATTAATGTTGATGTCAACAAGCCTTTGCCTCGCGTAGCAGGGCACTGACAAGGGCGCAAAAGGTGGTCAGAGAGTTGTCTTCATTACGAGCCATCATGATTGATTGGTAGAATCTTGTTGAAGCTTGCGTAGTGGCGCAGCCAAGCCAAGCCATGCCATTTAGAGTCTATGCGTCACTGTCGGTTTTGCTCAAAGTTTATTTGGGTAGCGGCTAGTGGCTAGATGGACAGTCCAGGTAGGTGGAGGGCGTAAAATGATGGCTTTCCTCTCCTTTTCCTTGCTTGCTTTGTCTTGTGCTTAGCTTGAGTCGTAATGACAAGACTGTAAAGCGGACAAGAAAAAGTGAAGGCAGGAGAGAGCACTGGAGGAGAGAGGAACATGGCATAAGGTTCATCCTTCCAGTGGCGGCTAATGAGATGAATGCATTCGCGGACGCGGCACAGAAGCTCATTGATAAGATCGAAAGCGGCCAGAAGCTTAGATTACTGCCAGCAGGAGTAACAATATCAAAGAGGCGGCTGTATGCTTAGGAGTCTTTCTCATAATCTGATGGCGTTTGATGTTTGCTTCCACATTGATATCTGTGATTGCATTGGACTGCACTTTTTTTTGAGTGTACAGTCTCACCTCGAGCAGTCATTCTGGGTTGGGAGCATGTTTCCAGACAGCCTCGTCACTGCACTAATTATATATTGTTTTTGCTGGCGGCGTCACTAGCGACCCCGCTGTTTGAGGGTTTGCACACGATTTCGTGTGGTATCCGCGGCACGTTTCTTGTGGTATTTATATACAGGTCTTTTTGGCCGTCATGCACATCATAGCATGTGGGGTGGGTGGGGGGGGGGGGGGGGGTGGTGAGGGGTAAGTTCCCCAAAGTGGCAGTGAAGTAACCTAGTAACAAAGCACCTGATCGAATACACCAAGTATGCCCGAGTGCGATGCGGAGACGTGAGCGAGTGTCAGCGAGCTCACTTTTCTATGGCGCGCAGTGCAGTATGTGCGGGCTTCAATCTTGAGCCAGAAGTGAAGGAATGAATTAAGCTGAAAGTTGTACGAAGCGTCTGGATACGGAACTACGAGCTATGCACGGACAACAGGTGCTACACACGTGGGGTGGGGTGCGGTTGGGAGGGGTGGGGTTGGGATGTTAACGTTCGGCTCAAATTGCACACCCATACCATACAGCCGAAACCTTTCCACGCTACGCACACAATACGAGTGACTGAGAGGGGGAAGGGGTGGCGTTCGGCGAACAAATTGCACACCCATACAACCGAAGCCTTTCTATGCTACGCACACAATACGAGTGACTGAGAGTGGGGTGAGGAGGGGTGGGGTGGGTTGGGTTGGGGTGCTAACGTTCGGTTCAAATTGCACACCCGTACAAAGGAACTCTTCTGCGCTCTGCATGCCAATATGTATACACGAAGCGTGCTGTGTTGCGCGCACATGTTTTCTTGCACACATGCTGGTGACCAATTTCTTTATTTTCCCAAACAGTTTACTGTTAGGGGTTCTCAATTCTTTCTTAAGATGTGTCCGCCCTTTGTGTCACTGCTGGTGTCCGCCCTTTTCCGCTGGCCATGTAGCTACAATGTAGCATTTCTATTCATTTGTCTCCCAGGTCTGTCACTGCTGGTGTGCGCCCTTTTCCGCTGGCCATGCAGCATTTCTATTCATTTGTCTCCCAAGTCGCTGCTGGTGTCCGCCCTTTTCCATTGGCCATGTAGCATTTCTATTCATTTGTCTCCCAGGTCTGTCACTGCTGGTGTCCGCCCTTTTCCGCTGGCGATGCAACATTTCTATTCATTTGTCTTCCAGGTTTGTCACTGGTGGTGTCCGCCCCTTTCCGCTGGCCATGTAGCATTTGAATTCATTTGTCTCCCAGGTCTGTCGCTGCTGGTGTCCGCCCTTTTCCGTTGGCCATGTAGCATTTCTATTCATTTGTCTCCCAGGTCTGTCACTGCTTGTGTCTGCCCTTTTCCGCTGGCGACGCAACATTTCTATTCATTCCCCAATCAGTATACTTTTAGGGGTTCTCAATTCTTTCTTAAAACGTGTCCGCCCTTTCTGACACTGCTGGTGTCCGCCCTTTTCCGCTGGCCATGCAGCGTTTCAATTCATTTGTATCAAAAGTGGTTTCTTTACTTTTGTCTCCCAAGTTCGGTGTGCCCTGCTAGTGTCCACCCTTAATCCGCTGGCCATGCAGCGTTTCTATTCATTTGCCTCCCAAATGATTTGTTTACTTTTCTTTTCCAGGTTCGGTGCCCGCGCTGCTGGCCTCCGCCCTTTTCCCCTTTCCAGCATTTCTATTCATTTGTGTCCCAGGTGGTTTCTGTACTTCCCCAAACAGGTTATGTACTGTTAGGGGTCCTCAAGGCTTTCTAAGAGTGTCCGCCTCCTTTGTCTCCCTTCTTGTTGGTCACTGTGTCCGCCTTCTCCCTTCTGTCTCCCTTTGTCTCCGGTCTTGTCTCCCTTCTTGTTGGTCACTGTGTCCGCCTTGTCCCCCTTCTGTTACCTTTGTCTCCCCTCTTGTCTCCCTTCTTGTTGGTCACTGTGTCCGCCTTGTCGCCATTGTGTGCGTCTTGTCTCCCTTCTGTTTCCTTTTGTCTCCCTTCTTGTCTCCCTTCTTGTTGGCCATTGTGTCCGTGTTGTCTCCCTTCTGTTTCCTTTTGTCTCCCTTCTTGTCTCCCTTCTTGTTGATGTCTCAAAATGTGGACTTGGGAATGCTTCGTTGTTGTCCCACCTGTTTGGGGTCTACGGGTGGTGTAATTCGAACCGAAACATTTTACACAATGGAATTCTGACAAAACTGTTCGTTCTCCTGCAAATAACAGTCGAAACGCAGTTCACAAACCACTAAAAACACTTAAAAGATCGTTTTCGTGGAGCTTTCATTTTTGGAATACTAAAAAACAGCGGGGTCATTAATGAGGCCGCTACCTTGTTTTTAGCCACTCTAAGTGGAGGCAGTGTATAGAAGGTCATGATCACCTTTTGAGGCCGCCTTTACTTGCTAACGTGCACCGCAAGGATCCTCATTGGTTGCCTGAGTAACAATAAATATGTATTGCCACGCATCACTACAACTCGGGAGTGCACACTTTGACGACAGTATGCTGGGAGACATTGACATAAGCCACCAAGAAGTGCTGAGTTGTTTCGCAGATGTGGTGCTTTAGAATGACTTTGGAAGTTGTCTATCAGAGTCCATTGGTTATGTCAGTTGCTTCTGAGGCGATGACTCTGTTCCGGTTCTGAAAAACATGAGTGAGAAAATGAAGGCCACATCGCAAGCTCTGCTTTCTTTTTCACCGTGCTATAGCATTGGCACCGCGAGCATTGCAGGAACACATGCTCCAACCAGCAGAGACTTGCTCGGCATTTGTGGCACACAAGACGGGTGAGCGTAGTCAGTGCTTGCTTTGGGCTCTTTTTGCATTGTGGTTCACCTTGAGGTTACTGCCAAATGTTGTTCTTTGTTTTTGATTTGGATTGCAATGACTAAGGAGAAGGTGAAGCCAATGACGGCAGCCAATCCTATAAAGCCTCCCGTGCCGCCTGAGACGCAGGCACGCCAGAGAAGTAGGTACCATTCCCTCACGCTACCATGACAAGAGATACAGAGGCTATTCTGCGTCAGAGCCTGTCTAAGAGCCCTTGGGTTGATGGACTGATGGAGTTATGCAGAAAAGCAACTACAAGAGAGGTTTCTTTTCCAAGCCCATCTGGGCTTGAATGGCACTGTGGATAAATTTGTGCCTCAAGCAAATCTAAACAAAGTTTCTTTCGACGCGGACACTGCTTTGCGGAGATGTCATTATGTTTGCAGCCCTGTACAAACTTTCATCAATTGAACGTTTATTCTCAAGACCAACGCACACCACCAGATTGGATTTGAGTCAAAAGCCTTCTTCAGATGCTTGATTGCCGGTGAGGCGGAAGATATGCCAAAAGCGTTGGTGACCAGCTTAGCATTTCGGCTCTGTAAGGGTCAATGCACACTGCAAGTGGCTTTCTGATTTCGTTCCCTTGGCTGTTTCTCCTTTCTGCCCTTGCTCCAGGCTGAATTTCCCAAGATTGATTGGGATAAGCCCTTGAACAAATCTCTTCTGAGTGATTCTGTCAAGAAGTTTCTCAAGAAGGAGAGCAGTGATGATCAGTTAGCAGCTGATTTGTCTTTGTGTGGGTAGAAACTGTTCCAGGAGGATGAGGCCAGCAACAAGAAAGTGCAAGCAGCAATGAAAACCTTGCGGAAGGTGTACCAGGCAAGGACTTGCTCCGGACAGAGTGAGAACTCGGAACGGAACTTGGAACGACATGAGTTGCTTGTGCCTTTCTGCACATCCTCAGCTCCCTCGCTCAGAAGAAAGTTGGCCCGGGCGGCGTCGAGTTGATGGGAAGACCATGGCGGCTCAACGACAAGGAACGAATGAATTTAGAAAGATACACTTGCAAAGCTGTCAGAGCAATGGTTGCCACTTTGCCACAATTTGTGGAGACTGGAATTGTGTTTTTATGGCTTGAGACATGTTCACGTGTCAACATTATATAATAGTAAGGGCTCCGCCCTGGTGCCGCTTGGGGGAGGAGCTGGAAGAACCAGAAGCCGGACAGGGATTGCTATAACCAGACACCGGCTATGTGCTCAAGACTCTGTATTCTTGATTCCTTTTACCGGTGCCTATGCTACACTACGGATGCGCTAGTGTATGCACAGTCCTTGTCACGAAAGCTAGCATGCTAGCTGACTTCTTCGTTGCTTTAGCAATTGGTAGTGGGATGAGCTGTGTGCCTTAAACCTTGATATATCACACTGGTGGTGCTTGCTGCCGGTAGTGCTGCTGCTGCTGCTGCTGCGGCTTGATGCTGCGCTGCTGCTGCGTGGTGCTGCTGGCTGGCTGCCGGTTGGCGGTTGGCGCTGGCTGCTGGCTGCAGGCGGCTGCTGCTGCTGCTGCTGCTGCTGCTGCTGGCCGCTGCTTGCCGCATAGGACTTGTACTTCACCGTTACAAATTGTTCACCCCTAGTTCTAACCTAATGCGCGCGGAAGCGGGTGGCAAATTTACCCCCCAGGCTTGCTATAACCATACACCGGCTATTTCCTCAAGACACTCTATTCTTGATACCTTTTACCAGTGCTTATCCTACACTACGGACGCCCTAGTGTATGCATGCTTACCCCTCGTTCTGGCTGCAGGCATGTGCAGCCAAAGGTCCCGGGAAGGGCTGTGGAGCCTGGCAAACGGCCCTG